TAATGCAGATTATGCTGCAAACAGCAAGCACTTCTTTGGCTTCCATTATTCGGTTACATGAAAGGTTAAAGTTTTACAATGACATACCTTTGCTATTATCATGTATGTGCATTAGGTTATATGTATTTGGAGGTTAAAAATCACTTTTAGGTGTCTACTCTAGTGTAGCTCAACTAATTTCAGAAGCACCTTAAGTTATTTTGTGCTCGAGTCATTTGTGCTTCCTGTTATGTAGAACTCCTTCAACTGGGAGGTTAAACAAAGGTGAATGGTGCAACTCCGGCTTGCTATAGCTTCATCCTTCAATGTGCAACTCTGTGAAGATGGCCTCTGATTAGTTCACTGGTATGTGTTAATCGAAGTTGAACTCTGTGGGTAGCATTGGTGCAGATGAATGTCACCTTCAGGAAACTGCTTTCCATCTGGCGAATACATTTAAATAAACTGATCTTTGTCTGTAAAGTTATGCTCTTTAAAAATATGGCATGTCCAGGCCATATGAGAGAGTATATTTAGTATAATGTGCGCTCATGCTGGGAAAGTGGTTAAATGAAGTATACGCACACCAGACAGTTTGTATGTCTCATATGGTCTGTTTTTGAGTGCGTTTACAGTATCAGTATTAAATGTCATGAAGTGACATTATGTTTTGGCGAACAAGGAGTATGTGGAGATTTTTAAAATGACATATGTTGTGAAGCACTGCCAGTTTAAATATCTGACAGATCAAGAATGCAAAACTGTAGTCCTGATTTTCAGCTTTCTTTTCCCTGTGCATTTGACCATTCATTCATGTTTTGAATTTCTGAGGGAAAGGACCAGCAATCAAGTCTGGGCAGCTAAAATATATACAGTGGCAAACTGATATGATGGTGTGCTTTGGAGGAGAGCCCATCTAGTTTTTAAAATTTTTTTTTTTCTCTATTTTAATGTGAGTAGGAGTTGGGGACAGAGTGCAAGCAGAATAGATTGGTCTGATAACTCATTAAATAGAGATATCGGATTAACCTGAGTGTAAATATTTCTGACTCTCTGTGTAGACTGGGAAGAGTGTTGGAAACTGGCTGTCTTAACTGTAGCTTTTTGTCACTGCTCCCTCCTGCTGCTGCCTGCTTTCGTTTGCATTCCAGGCGAGGTGTAGTTCATCTGGAACAAGCCTGTTTACAGCATGTTCCAAATTCTTACTGCATAGTAGTTCTGGGTTTTTAATACATGTGACAAAAAAGCAACAAAATCAAGTATACTCAAACCATATGAAAACGCATATAGTCAATTTTTTAATGGGCTGTTGATGGATGGCTATTACTGTCCCACAATGCAATACACAAAGGAAATGTGGATGGTCGTCAGGCAGTGGCCAAAAGAAGCTGTAGAGAAAGTGAACGTGAACAGCATTTACATTTTAGGTCAAAAACTTCTTTGAGTGTCAGTAAATGCATGTACATATTTTCCTTTTTTTCCCCCTTGAATACTATATTTAGTACTTTAAAGCCGAGAGACTTTGCTGAACATCAAGACAATAAACAGCGCTAAAATTGCGGCGATTGGTTGTGATTTGGACATACTACACCAACACGGAGTCCGATCGGAGACTATGCCGGCAGTTACTCGAGAGAAAAGGAGGCGCAAATGGTACGAACGTAAACAAAGGAAGAGGAAGAGAGCCGGGATCCATGCTAGGCTACAGGCTAACCCCTCCTGACCAGCAGTACTGTCGCTCCTGCTCTCCAATGTCCGCTCCCTCGATGGCGAGCTGGATGAGCTATGTTTGCTGGGAGAAACCCGCGGACAGTGGAAAGACTGCTGTGTGTTTGATTTTACAGAAACATGGCTCCAATGACAACATCCCAGTCTGGAATAAAGCTGGAGGGGACAACATTGTTCCAGGTGGACAGACAGACAGCTAGCTCTGGGCAGCATCTGCAGCTTCACCATCATCACATCATCATGTGTGTCGTTGTGTCCCTGAAGACCTACCAGGACCTGAAGAGGTTCACCATGTTCAACATGATGGCAGCAGCCCCTTCAGGAAACAGCGAGAGTGAACGTTTAGTGTCTTGCCTACCCCAGACGTGCATTCCGCAAAACCTACAAATTAAATGATCCTGAAGAAACGCTCTCTCATCTTGCCTGTACTACTGTACTGTGTATGTGCAGCAAAATGACAATAAACCTGATTTGATTTATACTGTAACTGTAAGCATGTAGTTAGCATTATATAAAATTGGTATGTATAATGGATTAGGGATGGAGCATTGTGACAAATTACCGTTTGTGCCTATCCAAAAATAAAATGGGCTTTATTTAATTTGATGCTGTGCAGTTTCTTTGCAGCTGTGCATAGTATACTTTTACATATATGTAATTGAATTGACATATTACCTTTTAAGTAGGGGTCTGACTATATGGAGAGGTTTCAAATAGTGACAGTTAGTGTTAGTCATCCAATGACTCACTGTTTTATGTTGTTGCAGAAAGTTTATTTATGAGCACATCGGAAAGTAAATATACAGACTGTAGGGGTTCCCAACTGTGCTTATTGTTAGAGATGCCATTCACTAATAATGAAGTTGCCACCACAATGCTGTGTGTGTTTACAGTGACTGTATAAAATACTTAGTTGCTCTCAAAGTTTACCCAAGTTTAGCTGATAATGGGTTAGTGTTGATCAGCTCCTGTAGTGCAACAGAAAGTGCTATGGAGACCGTTACCATGCCACTGTTGTGAGCACACTGGGGGGAGGAGGGGGATATGAAGTCAGGGCAACAAGACAGTCAGAACAATGTGAAAAATCCAAGGAACCAACAAAAGAAGTATAAAGGTTGAAAAGGAAATGTGACACAACAAGACGAAGAAATGCAAATTTCTACCTAAAAATTGGCACAGGTTAGTCCTTGGTGGCTGTTTGCTGCTACACTCGTTTCTTACTTGTATGTGTTTGGTGTTGCTTGTCATGCAGAGTTACAAACTGCAGCTGCTTGTTAGTATCTGTGTTTAGGCTTTTATTGTAGGTCAATGCACTTCTAATAAGAGAGATTCCAATTCTTTTCCTTAATTTTTGAGTGAATAACAGATTTAACATTTAGCTAGAATATATTTCACAGTGCTACAAAATGTGAAGGTATTGCTATCGTAATGTCACTCCAATGTGAATTTAAAAGCACAACTTGAAGCAGAATGCCTTTTACAGCTTATTGGCTTTAAGTCCAATAGTGCTCATTCAGAGAGTGTGGACTAGCCTGAGAAAAGAGACGCAGACCTTAGCCCTTATCTGGAATAACTGTACAAAAACCATAGCTTTTGTAAAATCTGTGATAATTAATTCAACAGCGGGATTGGTGAAGGGAAAATGACAGTTTCAAGTGGCATGACCAGGTTTGCGGTGCGTAATGGATTAGGCTGTTACTCTCTGGTGTTTTATATATATATATATATATATATATATATATATATATATATAAGGATGTTTGTGATAGAATCCATATCAAAATACAACTCTGACTCTGCCAGTGGTGGCATACATAGTAAAGTTTAGAGCTCTTTCTTGAAGCAGGGTTTGGTCAGTGGGCCACATGTTTCAACTTCCTTTTAAAAATAAATAAATAAAAAAAACCCCAGATATTTATGTGTACTCTAATTGTGTTTATTTCAGAATGATGCAGTACCCCCATCTCTGATTAGTGGATATGAATGTGGCAAATCAAGGCAACAACTTGACTGCCAATCAGTTGTGAAAAGGGAAATGTATGCGCAAGTGTGGCAGAAATATGAAAGTAATTAAAAGTGAGAAAAGTGAGCAAATCAAATCCTGCTTAGGGCCCTCATTAAGCTAAGGACAGCCCTGCATGCTTTGAAACTCATCTACATTAGAGGGAGATGAAGCTGGTTGTTAGGCAGCGCCTGATAACATTTGTCTATTAGGGACCGCAGAGGACCATCTGTAGCATAATGGCAGATGCAGCTTCATAACACATAAAGACCTCATTACTGCTTGTTTTGTGAAGTTTCTTTGAAATTTCTCAAGATAAAACTTCTATTGGTATGAATTTTAAAATCTTGTATTGAGGTGCACTCGAGGTAAAAGTAAGCACTATTACAAAAGACTTGTTCTTTTGTAATTGATCTATTAATGGCAAAGACTTAAATCACATCCCTCAGTAGAAGCTCATTAATCTATGCCGTGTATGTGCTCCTAGTTGGATAGGTTGTATCCCTGCATTGGGAGAAAGGGTGCCTTGGTCAAGTCCAGTCTTTATTAAGATTAATGAACAGCTTGACATTTTTAGTCCTCTGTCTGAATCGATAATTTTAATACTCATGAGGGCCAATGGGGATCTAAGCTTGTGGAACACACGTTGTGGCCACAGGGTGCATGTTAAATGTCCAAGTGGTAATCAATGCAAAGAAATTAGCTATTGATCTCTTATAGTTTTGTAATAGGTTATCTATTGGTTTGCTCTTTCGGAAAATTCCAATATCAGTCGGATGGAATTGTGCTGGTAATATTGCTGTGGGGAGTGTGTGTATGTGTATGCATGCAACTTCAGTGTGTGTCTGCATGTGTGTGCAGGGTCACATTCTAATTAGCACAGAGGGCAGACTGTAAATAAACATGTTGAGTAGCATATTGGTGATCCACAGTTCATTACAAATAAGGCTGAGAACTTCTGACTGGTTTTATGCAAGCTTAATGTTGACTAGAAGACCAGTGTTTATTATCAGCTATTTTGAATAAAAACATTTTCTTTTTCTTTGTCATATTATATGTTGCGTCTTTTGTATATTGATAGTAACAGACCATGATTAGATGAAAAGCTACAGCTATACGACTACTTTTTCAGGTTGAAAACTGTAGTTTCTAATCAGAGTATAAGGTCAGAAAAAAAAATGATGTCATGCATATATATACAGTTCTTATTTATGAATAAGTAGTTATAAAATAAAAGTTGCAATTACAAAAAGTACCAAGCAAACTTACTTAACCATTACTTGGTCTATGTTCCCTGGACATACAGTGTGAGTTGGATATGGATCTGCTTTGCTGGGGTACAGCGGAGCTTGGCCAGACTGGACATGGAAGGCCAGGGTACATTGGTCCACAGGAGGCCCATCTAAGAGAGTTCACTTCAGCCAGGCTGGGCAATGTGAAGCTGCTGGCGTGTGGATCCAGTCACTCTGTTGTGGTTACAGGTACAGTTCCCAGTCTGCTTGTGCAATGTTTGTTCCGGGTGGGTAGAAAAAAAACAATTTGCATACCAATTGGGTTACTTACTCTGTTCGATTCTAAATTGCTTTACAAATGCCAAAAATAGATTTTTGTAATAATGCAATTAACACAACTTAAAATGCAAACTCCGTCATAAGGGCAAGTGCAGCACTAACTACAAAGTTAGTGTTGTTGACATACATCAATAACAAGCAAAAAAAAACCCCAACCCTTAGTCTGACAATGAGACTTTCAAGACCATTATTATACGTATTAGTTGTGGTTCTTTTGTTCGTTAGTAGGCAAACAGTAGAAGTCAGTGGTTTAGCTCACAGTGAACTGGAGTCAAACTGAAAAGTCAAACTATAGGGCCTTTTTTTCTGTATTTAATTGAGGATCAATATGACCCAATTTGTAACATTAAGAACTGAAATTGATTCAAATCATTAGTCAGTCAGTGTCCCATCGCGACTGTTTGTTGTTTTTGATTTTACGCTGTGGACGTCTGCGTACCATTCAGTATACTGGTATGAAATAATGCATCGGACTTGAGCTTTGCTACTAAGCATGGTTTCTATGTGTATATTAGATTGTGGCATAAAAGTTTTATGAGGGCAATGCATGTACTTTGTCATTTGTCCAGAAACGGGGAAACATCATTTAGCAGATTAATTTGCCCATTAATTTTTGTCACTGACGTTGGTGTTCACCATGGTTAAGTCAATAGTGCATCTTCAGACACAGAGTTGTGTTATGTTTTGGTGAATGTAATGTCAAGTCTGGTTTGTCTTGGAGTATTTGGAAGTTTTTGAGACAACCTACAAAATGCAGTTTGATGTACTGCTACTGAAAACCACTGAAATCCACTGAGGCTGTCGAATGTTTACAGAACAATTAGCAAGACGGACATTTAATCAAAGGACGGATACGAAACCAAGCCAATATCATTCACGAGCAACAATAACACATACAGTCTGCCATTTGATGGACATGTTTTTCCAAACTGTAGTAGCAGTAGCATAAGTGAATGGTGTGCATATACAGGACACAGAAAACAGGTTTGTCTGGTGGCACAGTAATGGCTATTTTGTATAGGTTTCAAACACACACAGTGTCATAGGCGTAGGGTTAACGGACTACATTAAGTGTCTTCCCTTTCCTGCCCATGAGGTAATACTGGCCTACTTATTTGCCAATTTGATAGAAACCCTGATGACAGGAAGAAAGGAGCCTCCTTTTGTACATTAGCTGGCAGTACTCATAAATCAGTAGCCTAGATAAGTCTTATAGATCACCCCAACACAGTGATCCTATACCTCTGCCGTCATTACAGGGAAAAAAGGTGACATTTTTGATTGATTAAAATGGTGCAGGCTAGCTTAGGCTAAATCATGTTAAGTGATGTGACATTGCAGTTTCACATATCATATTTCTGTCAAGACAATGATGGTGGAAGGCATTGTCAAGGCATGATATCTGACAACAGCAGACATCTGGAGGGACCGGAGGAGATTTATGGGAAGGTTTTAGTGGTCTGAGGGAGATGAGAGAGAGTAAAAAGTGGTCCTTTTTTGTGCATTGTCACTTCCAGAGTGACTGTAAATTTTACTCCAGTGCTGTTGGGAATTGGAGACATTTACACATCCTGACAAATTGCCTGCTGTAAAAGTATTTATTGGTCTTGTCCTCTCTTTATTCTTGGCCTACTCACAAACATATACCCCCCTCACAGACACAGAAATATTTATCCACAGCAAATTTATGGGACACACGTTTATGCTGCGTACCTGAGCTATAGCCCAAGATATGTCATAATGGTGTCATGTTGAGAGTACTGGTCCTCTGTTAATGTTTTAATAGAGGAACTCTTGAGTAGGTCATAATGGTTTTATATCTGCCACATTGTCTGCTATCAACGGCCATTTGGCCCAGTCGGCTCCTAGAAGGGCTTGTTTATGGAAAATTAGCTTGCAAGCGAAATCCATAAAGTGCACAGAAGGGTGAAGAACAAGTTTCCTTGTGTAACCTACTGACAGGCACACGCTCTATCACAAAAGGATGAACTGTTAACTGATTAAAGGTTATCACCCCAGCGACTGTCACCGACCAACATTCAGTGATCAGTTGTAAACAAGACTGGCCTTAGAGCCTGTTGTCATGGTAAACTTGCACAGTGTGTGCATATTATAGTTTTTGTGGGGAGTTTTGCATTTTTTGTTCAGATGGCAAGTGTGACAGTGATTAATTGCAACTGTCTTTGATGAGGCATTTTCATATGCTAATAATTTGGCCAGTATGGAACATATTTTCACATTGACTCAGTGCAAATTACAAACTATAAATGGCCATTTAATTGTAGTAAATGCATCTTGTCCCTGGAAGGGTGAAATGGTTTCTTTTGCGTAAACTTAGTTATTTCTGTTGACTTTGTTTGTCCATGTTCAAACATTGCTCCACGTTTTAGAAAAGCATTATAAATTGTTGCCACTGGGTGGCACTGTGAGACTACCAATAAGACACTTTGACACAGGAGAGTAGGTGGGGGTAGGTGGGAAAAGGGAGGCTCACACTTACCTCACACTCAGACAGAGCTATAATTTACTAATAGTGTGGGAGCCGCCATTGCTGTTATCTTTTAATAGATTTGTACAGGGGAAAGCAGGTGCCTGTTGTTAATGCGTCCAATTGCCCAAGTTGCCTACAGAATTTAGGGCATCCATCACTGTCGTCGGTGGTGACACCCTGTCGTTCTACTTCACGCGGCGGGCCGGCCGGGCTGGGTTGGTAACAGATGAGGCTTCTCTCTCCTCCAGACGCCCACAGTCACACAGAGACAACCACCATACGTGCTTGCACATGCATACACACACAAAAACACACTGCTATACCACATTCTTAGAGGACAAACTATACTCATACCCATTGCAGCAGAAAGTGAAAATATACATGGTACGTATAGAGCTCTGATGTACTCACATTTACATAAACTAAACATTATGAAATAAATAATCATATCCAATCTAAATCTATGATGGAGCCTTAAAACTGTGAAATGAACACTATTTGTACATTTTTTTGGGCTGCTAAAACTTAGCTATTTGTTATGAAATACTTAATCTTGTTTATTTCTACATTAACAGTTTATTGCAAATTCCTTTTATTTAATTCAAGCAATTTTTATTTCAAAATGTAATTGTTTTCCCAAAGTCTACTTTTATCTTTATGTGATGTTTTCCCATTGGCCATTTGATTTCATACAGCCACTTTTTTTTTTTTTTAAATCACGGTGACTGTTAGTTGTTGCGAGTGTGTAGGATCTGTACACCAATTGAGTGGGCTTTTTGATATTGATTTGTTTCCTGGAATTGTCTCTTCTTAACCACTTCTGTTGACTTGTAGCTGTAACTAAGGCATACTAGGTATCGGGTGATAGCAGACGAGACTTCACATGGCCTGCAAACTATGTAAAAATGGACAACGCATCTCCACTTCCTGCCACTGTGCAAAAGTGAAGCCAGACTATTGCAAACCCATAAACTGCACACGCTCCCTTAACTTGACTAACAAGCAGGCTGCCAGCAAGTGACGTAAGGAGCTGCGATAGAAATGTAAAACCAGTGAGAAGCAGTTAGTAACTAGCTAGTTCGAGCCTTTACCATATTTACATCAAACTAGCAACACTGTTATAGTTATTCAGTAGAGTAGTTGCCTGGCAGTGTTTAATACACTTAATGACATGACAGGCTTACTTTGGCTGAGTTTATCATTTGCTAACACTCTCGCTTTATTGAGTGATTAGCCATTATTTTGCTGTTAGTGCCAGCACTTCTGTCTGTTGTCTTACAGTACAGTGATCCGTTTGGAAAGCCAACTTACTTTCATTATGTGGTGTGACAGCTTTTTGTTCCCTAATATTGTTAAATACTGGTTTATACTGGAAGGAAAGGAAAAAAAATTAGAGGCTTCTGTCAGTCATTGACAGCAATTATACTTTGTAGCACATTAGTATACATTCCTGTCCATCAACGTGTATGGCTATCTGAAAAATATTCAGTGCTTAAAATTTGACTGTTTTGACACTTGTTGATAATCAGTAAATGTTGCTGAGCAATGTTAAAAACCCACTTAACAGTTCTATTAAAATACATTTTATAATATTATAGCAATTATATTTTTATTAACAAAAACAAAAAGTACCCTAACTCTTAGAATATGTAATATTTAAACTACGACTAAGAAATGTGACTTTGAAACATCTTACATGTCACTGATCTGTCCATGAGACCATGGAGGGAGAGGCAGAGCTGTATTTACAGTGGAGATAGATGGAGACCACAGCAGCAATTTAGGACACCTGAAAGTGTGAAACCTAATGCAGAACGGAAGCAGAAACAGCAGGACATCACCGCCAGTTGCTTAGCGGAAGATCATGCTCTCTGTCAGCCCAGGCGCAGAAACCGTATGAGGGCTATTTTTGTTGCTGTGTTCATGGGACCATCAGCGTCCTTAGTTGTTTCAGCCAGAAACATCCCATGGTTTAGCTGCGGCTGCTGGATGTCAGTGTAATTCTTCATATGGCCTTTATGTTAAATAGAATTTGTTGTAATAATTTTTTTTCACCTGAAAATTAGAGTGTGCTCATTACCAAACGTTTCTCTGCTCTATGTTATACCATCACTGAGGAATCGTTGACTTTCTATTTGAGTATGTGATTGTATGCAGTTCGCGTTGAGTTGGCTGATTATCGTTTTAATGCTTTTCTGAAAACATGTTGTAATTGTAGAAGTGTCAGAACAGTAAAAAAATAAATTTATAAATGAGACATAACAAGTTACCATGCCAGGCTAGTGTTAAGAGTTTTACAGTATGCTAAAGTTGGCTACCTAGCAAACATGAGTAATAGATAATACAATGAAAATTGACACTATGAAATTAAACAGCCATTGGGAAAAACATTAGCTTAAAATTAACATTGACTTTGTTA